CCCAGTGTTGGTCTGAAAAAGCAATGACTGTACTTTTAACGAAATAAACTTGTATGTGTTGTTTCTGATTCACAATGACACCGTTTCCAATGCATTCTTAATGTGTGGATTTGGTATATTTGTTTTTGTTGATTGTTGTATGATACATCATTGTATGTACTTTTTTATTTAAAAACGAAAACTATCTCAATAATTGGTTACATTTAAAAAATAGCCTCCTACATGTGAAGGACAGGCAAATTAGTCAAAGAAGTCTAGCACAATGTAAGAAACTAATAAAGAATGGAGTAGGAGACAACTGCAGCTATAATGCACTCACTGTAATGTACTAAAATATTTATAGGTGTGTATTTGCGTGTGTGTCAAAGCTCAAACTTTGGACCCAGAACTTCAGGCAGACAGACTGATGTCATTTACAATAGCATTATTAACAACATGTAGTAACTCCGAATCAGCAGCTAGGATGAAAAACACAGGAATCTCTGTGGAGGGGAAAAAAATCAGGTTAGTGACCACGTAAATCTGACGTAGTACGATTACAAGCGAGTTAGTTGCTAGCCTGGTTATAAAGTTCAGTCCAAGGACAGAGGAAGGAATAGAAGCCAGCCGGATGATTTTATACAGCACAGGACGGACATCGCCCAGAGAGTTCCAGGAGCCGAAGCCAAGGAGGCTGAACTGGCTGACGAGCAGAAGCCAGCAGACGAGGGAAAGCAGAAGTTTTCCAGAATTAGAAGCCAAAGCCGGTGTCGATGAGGCAAACAGGAGTCTGAAGACTCTGAAGATAAGAGATCTGAATAGGTACCGAAAGGAAATCCAAGTCGGGGTCAGAAGACAGATCCAAGGTCGTAAGCAGGCAAAATTCCAGCAGGAGTCCGAAGACAGGTCAGGCAAACAGGTCAGAACAGGAGCAAGCAGGCTAAGAGGTCCAAAGGCAGAAACTAGTCAGGATCAGGCAATAAGAACAACATACAGGGTACACTAGAGAACTCTAACCAGCGCCTCAAATAATCTAGCCCTGATGAATGGGGACTAGCATCTTAAACAGAGGCAGGAGTAGGTGGATGAAATGAACATTAATTAGAAACTAGGCAGAGCTAGGCAGGTGAATAGAAAAATTAAGCCAGTCATCAGTGCCTAGATCATGACAGTGAGTGAGTGTGTGTGTGTGTATGTTAAACTAAAACCACATATACTTATCATGAACAAACTAAAAGGTTTTAAGTTGTGATGAAATAGTTCCTAGGTATATATCAACTGAACTGGAAGACTAAAAAGGTAATATTCCTTTGGTGGTTAGCCTGAAGCTATTTGTCACAGCTAGAAACACAGTGATGTTAAAGTCACTAACACTACAGAAGAGTTTTACTTTTGGGAAAATTGTAATAAAGTATTACCTTTTTTCAGATCTTAAATATTAAATGGTCCTAGCAAACAGATGTACATCGCAGCATCAGCATATAGATTTCAAATGTTCAAGGATTCTAGCTGCCAACCGAAATGCTGCCAGGAAACAAGCCAAAGAAAAAACATGCAGTGCTCCTAGATATGATATTTCAACTGCAAAGGTTTTTTTGTTTCTTTGTAAATTACAAATTAAAGATTGTATGAGCAGCTTTGCAGGAGTTCATGCTCACCACATGCAAGTTCTGCTCAGCTAATGCTCAACTGAACAGGCTTTGTCCTCAAGCACCTCACATTCTGTGCATTTTCTCTTAGTTTTTTTGGTTAGCTGGCAATGTTCTCAGTAGTTTTAACATGTACATTAGGTCCTCCTTATATGATTCAATCTATTATCTGACATGCATCATCAAAGATTATTGTTATCTCCATCCAAAGCATTAAAGAAGCTGGTTTAAATGACCCTTTCTTCTCAAGTTTCTCTTCATAATTTTAAAGGAGTAATCTAAAGCTTTTAACATTGCAGTAATGATTCAAATGTTATTTTTGGGTGTGACACATAAGCATAATATAAATCGCACTTGTAAGTTCCTTTCTCTGTTGCATCCAAGCAAGAGTCTGATTCCCAGCAGTCGCTACTCAAGCTCTGATTGTTCTCTAATCAAATGAACTCCTCTTGTTCCATGTTCATTTTGTGTACTTATGTTTGAGAGTATCTCAGTATGATCAAATACTGCACCTTAGGCCTTTTCTGTTGAAGTAGATTATGGATCCCTATAGCTAAAATTGCCTATTTTATCTGCGGAGAAAAGACAATCCACTGATTGGTGAGTGCTCAGTGTGTGTGTGTGTGTGTGTGTGTGCTAGTTTATTTCTGTGTTTGTGTGTGCACATGCGTGAGCTGGTAGTTTTCCTCTTGGAGCTCATCAGTTCATATCCACCACCCATCCCACCGCAGCATGCAGTAAATAGAGTCTCTGGCACTCGTTGAGAAATGGCACAATTATCCCCTGCTGGTGAAATATGGGCTGGGATGCACCACTGCGTCTTTCCTACAGAATGTGTGTGTGTAGGAGTGTGTGTGTGTGTGTCTTTTTGTGAGGTGACTGCTCTTTTTCCTCTTCACTCATTGTGATATGCATTCAACACGCAGAGAACTGTTTGACTGTGTCACCGCATGTGCAAGTGTAATTGTATAAACAGCTGCACACACACGTACATGAAGAGAGAAGTGTGCAGTTTTTACACTGCAAACAATGCAGCATTTTGCAGTTCTAAAATGACATAATATCACTTTAATTCAGTTTAAAAAAAACTTCTATATAGAGATCTGAATTAAATATTTACAGAACAACAGTCTGGAAAAAAGAATGAAATTGTATTATAACTAAAAAAAAAAAAAAAAACTATGCCAGGTATTAATTTTGTACAATTTTAAAGTTGGGAAAGATGCTAATATCATACAAAAGCTTTCAGCACATAATTATGGCTCTCGTGGTTTCTACTGGACTTTAATTAACTCGTCAAGTCTTTGACTTGTTCACATTTATGCTGAATAAAGGTCAACTGAAGTGAATCTCTTAAGCTTCGGAGAGCAACTTACTCATCAAACCTTTCCCAAACAATCAGCCGCCAAACATTCCTTTAAGCCTCTTAGTATTGTAACACTCAATTGTTTTAGTTAGCCTAATTTATTTAGAAACCATTGTTTAAAGGTTTGGTACAATGTCTTGTAAAATTATTTGCCATCATTGAATATTTCACTGTGTCATGCAAACGTTTAAAACTTATGTTGATTTTATGTGACAGACAAACATAACGTACTTAAATAATTGTGAAAGAAAATTAAACTAGGTTGAAGTATTATGCAAAAACAAAATATGTATCATGTGTTCCCTTAGTTTACTTGAAGCATCTTTGTTGATATCACATGAAGAAAAGTATCAAGCTAACCCCACTACAGTAAGAAAAATTTTATAAACCATTTTGAATGAGGAACTCCTCTAGAAGGGCATTCCTTACATGACTCATCAAAAACTGTAAATTGTTTTTCTATCAACAATGACTTTCTGTTGATATTGTTATATTTAAGGCCCACTTTGTGTGCGGCTCTACTCTGAGTCTCTCTTGGATGGCCAAGCTCCTCACCCTATCTCTAAGGGACTGCCCTTAAAAAAAAAAAGAAGAAAGGAAGAAAAGCTCATTCTTCCCACAGGCCAGAGATTCATATGTTTGGTTAATTGTTACCTCTGACCTCACTTTTGACAGTGTGGGTGCAGAGCTGTCATTGTAGGCCCTTTGATGGATTACTAAGTTCTTTAGAGCCAATCAGAAGTGTGGTACACTGTCAGTACACAGACTATGCTTTGCTCCAGAACCTGAGAATATGGACCATGCTTTCATTGATTTTTAAATAGTTAAATCATGAATGTCCTTGACCTTGAAGCTGTTAATACACTGGATGCATTGAGCAAGTGGCATGGATCACATGCTTTTTTAGAGGTGGATGTTTACACCAGATGCTGCAAATTATGCTCCATAGCTTTGAATTTCTACACTCATCACTTGAAGATCAATGAAATTACTAGTAATATTTCCTATGTTTGGATCACCTAAAAGTCTTGACCTAGTCACAAGAAACGGCATAAGGGATTGAAGTATTCTCCACCTTCAAAATCAACATTTTTGCACGTATTCTTGAAAAGACACAATTTTGGAATTGTTTCAGAGGTGAGGTTAGACACTGGATGTCTTTTTCATGTTTATTCATGCATAACAGGAGCCCATGCCCATCCATAATAAGAGCTTCAACTTAACTTGGGTGTAGAATGGTTCAAATACATGTGTTGAATGTGCATATTTGAAAGTTGTCACATGCATAATCTATGCATAAGATGCACCTTGCTGCTTTGCTGCACTTAAGTGCTGTGACTTACCAGGTTTATGTTCTTTGAGTACTGTTTTGTACTCTTTTTTTTTTTTAGGGGCTTCCATCCAATAATAAAATTTTTCTTATCAATCCAACATTATGACTATAAGAGCTTCACTCATCCTCATGAGAAGTTGCTTACCTAATGTTGTCTTGCTTTTATTTAGTCTCATCAAGTCAAGCTTTACTGCTGGATTCACAGTTTAAACTTAAAATTAGGACCTGTGAACAACTTGACCTTAAGTTGGAAAAAAAAACTTGAAAGATTCCTTATTATTCTCTTTTCCATTGTGATGCTTGATTCATATTCATATTTGAATATAATAACTTCAATTAACTGTTCCTTATATACTACAAACTAATGAGGTAAATTTCACCATTTGTATTCAATCATACCATTTGAAATTGTCCGATTGCTCTGAAATGTCAGTGGCTTTCTAGGTCATTTAAAGTCAGCCATACACATAATGTTATTAACCTTGAGTGGTTTCTTTTTCCAGTGGCTATGACATTTGATATGGCCCTGAAAATTGCTCATCGCTCTTAAAAGGCTGACGGTATAAAAAATATGATATGATCGTGACCACAGGATGAGGATATGAATAAAATTCCTAAACACTTCAGTGGCATATGGTTTAAATTGCTAACTCAATGCTCTCTGTCTCAACAGGTATGGAAAAATAGTGTCAACCAAGGCCATTCTTGATAAGAACACTAACCAGTGCAAGGGTAAGTTCTTGTTTTTTTTTCTCGTAAATTCACTCAGTATGCTTTATTGTGCTTTTGTCAGTGGCGAGAGTACGCCGGTGTGGTCTGGTACTGCATACCACTAAAAGATTCAGCTGCAGTACAGAACTGACAGAGAGAGTTAATAGTTGAAATTTATGTTTTTTTGTTTCAAACACAAAGAATTGAAGAAAATTGCTTATGAACTACACCATCAAGATTTCACTTAGTATTATTTAAGTGAGCAAGTGATGTTTTAAACACAGCGAGTGTTAAAGAGATGGGTGCGTTTAATTTATTGCACATTCTAAGATGTTTTATTCAGCTGGTTCGCATTACAAAATACAAGTCTCACAGGGAGAGAACGAGCAATCAGTGGCAGCAATAAAATTCCACACACTGCTGTGGTTGGCTGAAACACTTTCAACGTGATTTAAATATCTGTCACTTATCAACTACAAGAAAAAGCAACCGATATTTCAATCTAAATAAAAACAATAACTGGTTGAAATGAAAAGTGAACCAAGTAAAAACTAGAAAACCAACTGATAAATTAAAGCTGATGGCCATCTATTTTAATTAATTTGGGTGATATTTAGAAAGTCTCCTCCGCTAAGAAATAAGTACTCAGCACACCTTCCAACTTGCATAAGAAGACATTTATTTGCAACGTTTCGGTACTAGACTTTAAACCGGCAAACATTTGTGGTTGGTGAGAAGCCATCTTAAATAGGGAGTGGTTATTTTCCCTAAGGAATCTCTTTTCTTCACATAAACCCAGAAGGAACAACTGGATGGTAAATAATTAACAACAAATACCCAAAAAAAAACAGCAACTAAATGAAGACAAATTTAAAATATAATATGGCATGTCTGAGATGGACTGGCGACCTGTCCAGGGTATACCCCGCCTGGATGGATGAATATGGCATGTTAAGTTGACATAATAAAAACTTTTTTTTTAACTTTTAAAGATTTTGTCACACCCAATACCTCTGTTTATTTTTATTTGAGGAATGTAAAGGATCCAATGATGCTTGGGGTAGATGATGACTTTGTTTGGACACCAGTGTTCTCGATGCATCATTGATGATTAATCTCTTGGACCTTTTGCTCCAAGTTTCCCCTGTGAAGGTGAAGAGACTTAAAGATGGTTTTGTAGAATTCTGGTTCTGAAGGTAACCTGCAGCTGTACTTATTAACTTTAAACAGTCTGAAGTGTGAATTTCTCCTACCTGTAGGGAAAGGCCTTCAGGAGTGCTTCCCAATGGTGATTCGTCTTCTGGGTCCACAGAAAGACAATGAAAGGTGGATGTCTCAAACCTTTAGGTTAAACACAACAGAGGGGCTCAGGACGTGCTTTTTGAGGCTCCAGGGTTTGCAGCTTAGTTTTTGCAAAGAGAAGCTGCATGCACATTGGGCTTCATGTAGGATCTGTTTGTACTAACAAATTTGTTCTTAAATGGTTCGTAACGGTTATTTAGGAAAAAACGTTGCAGCCACCATTTTTCTCCTATTACTAATCACCTCTAAGCTACTAACAAATTTAAGAAGTGCCCTAAACTTGACATAGGAGTCTTGCACAACCAATCAGCTCTTTCAAACCCTGTTTTTAATGAAATTACTACATTTGTTTATTTTAGAAGCAATTGTCCATTTTATTAGGCTACATAATTATATATTATGCAACTCAGCATTTATAAATTAAAATTGTATTCTATCGATCAATACTTGCAACTTACATGTTGTCATCCAGAGGAGAAGGGTTGAATTTTATGTCATTTTGTCAAAAGAAAAATCAGTCAGAGATCAAGCTCCGATAAAATAATATCTGGAACAAAGAATGGATGAAAGGTTCAGCGGTAATAATGGCATTAATTTCACTCCACGGCATCTCATTGGCTTTGTTACACTAAATGCTGAATATTTACATTACGGACTTCATTAAATTAGAGTTTTGCAGTCGACTTTTTATATATGTTTATGCATTGTGAGAGAGAGTACGATGAAGGGATGGCAGATGTGGTCTGGAGATTTACAGTACAGCTGTGTCTGTCTATCAAAAGGAGATTTAGCAGAACGGTTATGTTGGATGAAGTTGAACTCATTAAGTATATATAGCATATAGTATGTTGCACCTCTTGCTTCTGTCAGTAGTTTTTATTGACTGTTTTTGGATGAAATTATTCATCATGAATTTATTTTTCCCTTTGTAACAGTGCAACCACTGGATTTAAAGCTCTTGTATTTTATTCTCCACTACTTGGCTTTTTACTGGTCCTTTAATTCTGCTGCTCTCAGTCAGACCTCGATCCGCAAACCTTTACAGTTTTTCGACTTTGTCTTCAATGCCATTGCTGTGCATGAACACACAGGTGTTCATGCACAGCATTGGGAGTGGCAATTTGTACTGTTATATGGGGCAGTGATAATGTAGATTTACAGTTCTCAGGACTGCGTGCTCACACGTGGAGTGCATCACATAGAGGATTAAATACGATTATTTACTACAGTTAAGAAAGTTTGTGGAATCTGACGAATTGTGAGACAAATATATGACAAGAACATGAAAATGTTTTTGTATGAAGCCCAATGGTCCCACCAATGTACAAAAATAATATCAAGGCTTATGGCATTACTGTACATCAGCAAGAATTTAGGACTACTTTCATCCATGCTTTTTTGGTAGCAATGTCTTTGTTAGATTAAAATCCCTCAAGGACTCTGCAAGTTGGGAGGCAGTGATTTAGGAACCTGATGCATTTACACTGCAGGAAGGATTCATGGAAGTCACCATATCTTGGTCAATGCTGCCTGCTTTAAAGGCAGCAGTGGCACAAGGCCCATTGGTCCCTTTTTCTTTTTTATAATACCAGAATATGTTGAGCATTAACAAGCTTAAATATATTGTATAAACCTTACTTAGTATTGCAGTCATCCTAGTTGTCTTCGTGTGTTTGCTACAGGCCAGGATTGGCTGCAGATACTGTAATACAGTTTACTCAATTTTTACATTTAGTAATGGAAAAAAAATCAGCAAAGACTTAAACGGAGAAACTGTAAAAGAGGAGGAATTAGAGGAATCATGAGAAGAAAAATGGTGTGATACTTGCCTTAAGGTGCCTGGAAGCACAGTTAAAAAATCTATTGAAGTTGTATCAATACTTTTAATTGCTTTTTGCGGTTTTCCAGTCTCTAAAGCATGGCCTTTCAAGGTGATTCAGTTTTCTTTGCTACATTTGAGTCTGTCCCACCAGGCAGTTCTCTCAGGGTCAAACAACTCCAATATTTAGCAGAGAGAACAAACTTTGATCATCTTGACAGCTCCTGCTGGATAGTAAAGACAACAATGAATGCCTGTAGGTTATATAAATCTGAATTCAGAATTCAAATGAAAGTGAATTTTAGTGGGACTATAAAGAAGGTACAAACTGCTTTGTAAAACAGTGCTTGAGAAAAATGAAGAAATCAAGTGTTTACAACTTTCTGTATCCTCCTAACTAGAGTTATATAAGCAACACACGCTATAACAAAAAAGTCAAGCCAGTTAAACACTTGTGTGAGAAACAACTTCTGTCATAACTTACCAGTAGTATTGGTATGCAATACTACTGAGATGCCAAGAGGAGAACATAACAAGCGTATTTTATGAGTGGAAGGGAGGCAGACAGGTATTGCTTAAGGAGGGGGGAAAAAATCCAACATAAAGGACCTGCCAGCCTTAAAAAAATTAATCTGCGATTATTTTGTTAAAATAAAATTGACACCAAAAAAAAGAAAATAATAAATAAATCCTCAACTTTAGTATGCATCCAAAAATCTTTTTAAAGTTGAAACTTTCTGGATTTTAAAGGAGACATAATTATAGACACACAACATTGTGATAAATTGCTCAAAGACAGTTTGGGTGTCTTTTAGTAATATATATTTACACTATGACCATCTCTATATTTTTATAGATTTTGTACAATCTATAACCTTAACCTTTGGCTCAGTTCCTCCCTTATTTATTTTGTAGTGTGATTTCATGATTTTCAATCCAATCAGAGAAAAAAAACTCATGTAGAACGATGATGAGGACAGTCTTTAAGCAAAAGCTAGATCACATCGAACCCTGCTCATAAAAACACAATAATAATATTATGGTTGGCCTCATTGGTGATATACTGTTTTATTAAACAGGATTGAAATATTGAAAGATGAACATTAAATTATATAACACAAAAGAAATTCAAAACATTTATATTTTTCAAACTTTTCAATAAAAGTGTTGCAGATTATGCTCATAAATAAGAAACTTGTTACATAAATGTGCTAATGATTTATCCATCTATAATTATTTTTGTTGTGTATATACTTCTTTTTAGTTTTTAATTAAAGTCCATGCCACTTCTCTGAAATACATTTGTAAGTAAAAATGCCAATAGATAAGCTGTTTTTTTAAATATTCATAGCAGCTCTTCTTGTACCCCAGTCATACTACATTCAAAGTCAGATAAGTCTTATTTCTTATCTCATCAAAAAGCCCAGTATGGATTCTGTTAAGTCTACTTCAGTGGTGTAGATTATGATATCAGGAATTTATTTTACTGCTTCCATGTAACTAAACATTTCTTCAAATATCAAACATCTGAACACACTTTATAAAGTAGATGTAGCTAAGAAAGTGTTTGAGTATTGATCTTCTTTAAGACCATTTTAAGTTTCTAGTTCTGGTTTAACTTTTGTGTTTCTACAATAAAAACTATAAAAGAGAATTAGACTGAACAATCAAGACGATGGAGTAGAGAATACTAGGTAAGATGCTTGGTGGAATAGTAGGAGTGGGAGTGTGGCAGAAAAAGAAGTGTTGATGCTTTCTGTGCTTACAGGTCAGGTGTATTCTAAAGCACAAACAAACACAAACCATGACAAATACCCACGCAACAACGTGAACCTGCAGTTGTTTCTTCTCTACCATACATCTGTCTACTACATTTGCCCTGAGTAGCTGTAGAAGTACT